CAAAACAGGAATATGACCTGGATTGTAGAAATCCTTCACACGCAGTTCAGAGTGACTCGAATGATGACACAACTGGAAACTTTTACATAGACCTTTCTGGTCCTCAGCATGGATTTTTTTGTGGAGACTTAATTTGATTATTTAGAAATGGTGCATGACTGATTTTGTTCAAGTCTTTTTATAAATATCCTGAAATGGAGAGTAAAATCATTGGTACCATTTTTTATGCTTTCCTAATATTTTTTTTTTTTGTCAGGAAAAAAAATCATTTTAAAATTCAATTGCAAGTACGAATGTGATCCTTTACTCTGATCAGTGATTACACTTTCAAGAATGCTGGGAGAATAAGGAGTTAGTACTTCTGATATATTTCTCATTGCAGGAACAATATACTGAGGACAGCCTACAGTCATGAAGAGAAGTGCAAAATTTGGCACTTTGCTCTCTTGCAGTCTAAAGAAAAGAGCATTTAGAAGTTTGAGTTGATAGTGGAGATAAGTGCAGTATGGGGAACAGGAACAAATCTATTAATCACATAAGCTGCTATCTCAGAAATAAAGTCACTTAAGTAATCATCATCTCAAAAAAAGGATATTATTTCCACTGTTTTGTCCTCTGTGTCCTCTGAAAAACAGAACTGGAGTTTGGCTGATGATGACTTAGTGAGCCTCAATTAATATTTAGCTGTGGTTTTGAAAACATAAGATACACTCTCTAAGAAACTGTTGGTATTGAAAAGTTTAACAAACTGCTGTATTTACCTTAAGTCTGTTGAAAAGGTTGATAGCAGCAGCAGGACTGTTGAACTAGGCTTCGATTTATTTCTTTTCCCCTCCAAGTGCACACTGCTTCATTAAGACAAGATTTCTATTATCAGTCTTGACAATAATCTCCTTATTAACTACTTGAAGTGTCTGAGACCTGTTTCATAAATCGGTGACTGATTATCTAGAGTAAATAAATCATTTCATGTTAACCTATTTTTGTCATCAAGATCTGTTTAAAAGCTTCTTAATGTAGCTATGATTACAAGTCACTACTCAGATTAAATTCACTATTTGAACCTTTGGTTTATTCAAGAGAATATTGGAGTATTTACTATGAAATGACACTTCAAAAAATTAGCAAATTTTCCTTTCTGAGCTACTGTAGTGGTTTACAACATGTGTGTGGAAATCCAGGATCTCAGCTATTCTCTGAAATTTCTTTAGAGTTAGTAACGTCTTTGAAATTAGTCACTTGTTTAAAATTAATGAGAATATCCCTTACACCTTGCCTCTAGGGCTAGTAATTACAGCTGGTAAAACTATGAGCAGGTGTACTAAAATGGCTACAATGTGATACCAGTGTAGAATAAAGAAAAGCAAGGAGATAAACATTTCTGTGAGATACGTGACTGGATTTTTTTGCTTACATTTTAAAATTATTTTTGGCAGCTATCAGAAAAATAAGCTATTTATTTTGGAACTTTCTGCTATAACCTGGAGAGTTTTGGAGATCATTCTTTGTAACTGAACAAGTATTAGAAAGAAAATGCTTACCTTGTTTTATAGGCAAATGTTTAAATTGCAAGAACAACACTGCAATTCTACCTGTCTCCATAATAATACACTATACAAAGTGAAATGTTTTAAAATTGTGTCTTAAAATAAGAAACACAGTTTATGCCCTTAATCTCCCAGTAAGCCACAACTGGCAGGTGCTGAAAAAGATGTTGGTGTGTGCAGAAGCTAGGCTTTCCCCCTCCATGCAAAGTGATACATACCTTTGTTCCATAAGGTACCTTCTTGCCCTTTGGACAGTAGGTGAGCTGCAGCTTTGATTCTTAATTCTTAGGTGAGCTCTAATTTAATAAGTTATTTTTATCTTGTTTGTGATTTGTTGAGAAGCTGCCTTTGCCAATGTTATTGTTATGAAGTCACTTGCCAAGCTTTTTTTAGATAGTGAAGAAAACAGCTGCCTTGTATAGAGGGAGAAAACAATCTATTGGGTAATATTTCAATCAGTAAAAATGTTTTTTTTTCCCTGAAGTTTATATTTAAAAAATACACCCAAAAAATCAACAAGGGAGACTTACTCTGTTCCTGAGGCAGATAAATGAACTGTGTTTTTGTTATAACTTGGACTGTTAAAAAAGTGTGCTTCCCTTCTGTAACATTTTAGGATCCAGCGCAGTCATCGGGTTTTCATCCTTCAGCATCTGTTGTTGCAGTAGGGACGCTAACCGGCAGGTAAGAAGTGCAGAGCAACACCTTGGGCACCAGCAAACACGACATGACTTTTCCAGCTCACATCCAAGTTCATGTTTTGCAGATGTATGCGTGCAATATGTTCATCCCCTATCGATTTCTGTTGACTTTCGGAGTGAAATTTATTTGTATTGCATTAGTGCCTGGAGGGTCTGGTCTCGGACCCGTATCCTGTGTTTGCTGAGCGTTGCACGAACACAGAATGAAGAGACGGTTTCTGCCCTGGGCGAGCGGCAGATGAAGATCAGTGGGAGGAGGTGGCTTTGGATGGGGTGGGAAGTTGTGGTTAGCAGTGAGACCGTGCGTGGGAGGTGCTGTCACCATGCCAGTGACCTGAATGCTAAACCTTTGTGTCCAGCGTGGCAAAGGAGAGGCTAAAGGAGCAGTTTGAGATAACAAGATAACTGTGCAGATGCATACAGAGAGCTTCTCTGAGGCCTGTAGGGCAACGTAGAGGAGCAACCTTTTTCTATGTGATTTCATTCAAAAATTTAACAAGTGGTTTACTATCTCTAATGCAGTGACGTCCAGAGTCTCTAACAAAATTTTGGGAAATCTTCCACTGCGCTAGACAGAGTGTAAAAATGAATATTGATAGACTTGTTCTGCCTGAAGAGTGTAAATTGTAACCAAGACAGACAAAAGCAGGGTGAAAAGTAGTATCTCCGTCTGGCAGGGCAGACTGAATGCTTGGTCACGTAGTGGGTCAGCGGCAGACCTGGGGTTTAAGCTTGGTTGCCTGTCAGAGGAGGAAGGAGCGTCTTCGCCAGAACTCCATCCTCTCCTTTAATGTCACTTGAGGGCAGACTTTGCTGTTAGTATCGAGAACAGTGGCATTGAACTGAGAACATATAGAATTCTTATAGGTTATAAGCCAAGATGGTTTCGGATTGTGTATCATTCCTAAATAAAGGATTTATTTTAGTTACTAAATTTAGTTCATTTACCAAATAAAGTCAATCAAAAGGAGAAGCTTTGAGAGGAATCTTTACTTTGGCTTTAATAATTTGATGGAAGTATTGAAACAGAAATTTTATCATTGTCCTTTCTACATGTTTCAACAAATTAAATTTGGATTCATTAAAAGTAATTAATTTAATTTAATTTATTACAAATTTAATAAATTAATTAACTTATAAATAAATAAAGCTAATCCTTCTGTCAAAAGGGAATGGTTCTTATTCTTGCTTGTGTTTTTCTTTGCTCTAGTATTTAATGTAGGCATCAGTTTAAACATCAGCATTGCATAGAGGAGGGGCATTAAAGGAGAAGGATCATTATGTGTAATGCTTACTTTATTCTAATGCATGATGTAGTAAAACAGACTAAACTCTGAAGGTGGATATCGGGGTCAATGTCTGATCTTTTTTCTGGTTAAAAAACATGGGAAAGAAACTATCCTTCTGTTAAAGTAAAAATAAACTAAACTGAGTAGCAGTTGCTGTTTTTCTTTTGCTGGTGTAAAACTTATGCTATTTTGACAGAAAAGTTGGTCAAGATTACAGTAGTTTTAAATTCCTTATGGAATGGTTTATTGACCTCTTTCTGTATTTACAACAGGTGGTTTGTGTTTGACACAGAAACAAAAGACTTGGTCACTGTACACACAGATGGAAATGAACAGCTGTCTGTAATGCGTTACTCACCAGGTTTGAGAGCGTTTATTTACTGGTTAAGAGAAAGCATTGGATTTTTTCATTAAATTTGGGGTTGGTTGATTTTAAAATAATTCCTCACTTGCTATACTGAAGTTGAACATAACTGTGCCATGAAACACTGGAAACACCGAAAGGGTGGTGTCTCAACCTCTATTTCTCTTTTCCTTCCCCCCTTCCCTCTCCTATATGTCTGATATGGTTTCACTGGGAAGAAAAAAAAAAGAAAGACTTAACTGTGCAGGTTATTGCAATCAGGTTAGCTGATTCTAACGGACTGTAGCTGCTTCTAGAAGTGTCATGTGTTTTTAACAATAATATGTGCTCTGTAAACTTGCTGTTGTGTAATCTTGAAACGTGCATCAACATGCAGTTGAAAAATAAAAAATAGAATTTTATTTTTTCATTTTTTGGTGTTGAGGCCTTTAAGAGCAGTTCCTCTGGTCTGTGACACACTAACTTTTCAAAATTAGCCTGAGTTCTTTCCTACAGGAATAAATACTCTTCACTTTTGCGTTTATAGATGGAAACTTCTTGGCAATAGGTTCCCATGACAACTCTATTTATATATATGGCGTAAGTGAAAATGGAAGGAAGTACACTAGAATTGGCAAATGTTCAGTAAGTAACCTTTTTTCCTCCTAGTTCAATATTAACAACTGAAGTATGTTTTGTAGCACTGTATGAATGCTGTCACATTGAGACACACTGTTAGTGCAGTTAATACAATATTTTTCTCTTCGTAGGGTCATTCCAGCTTCATTACTCATCTGGATTGGTCTGTTAATTCACAGTATCTTGTGTCTAATTCAGGAGACTATGAAATCTTATACTGTGAGTAAGAATTATGTTTAGTCCTTTTGTGCAAAGTTCAGGCAGTCTAATACAGATTTAAAATTTAAATGAGACCATATAACTGCCAAGATAGACCATATGCTGTAATTCATCTGGTCTATCAAAAATCGATATAATTTGAGAATGAAAAACATTATCATATTTGGGTTTTTTTTTTCTTTTGTAGGGATCCCCTCTGCTTGTAAACAGGTCGTGAGTGTTGAAACAACTAGAGATATAGAATGGGCCACCTACACCTGTACTTTAGGATTCCATGTTTTTGGTAAGTATCTTTCTTCTTACAAGCTCTTACCATTCTTGTTATTAACAAACATTTGGATTGCCAACTTCTTTTTATGAAACATGACTATTCAGGTTTCAGGGAAAAATACAGAACTTCTGTTATGCCATTTTTATTACAATCTGTCCTCTTATTTCAGTCCAGAAAGACTCTGATTTAATATTCTTGCTAGCTTCAAGTATAAATACTGAATTACAATGTAAGTGGGAGACAAGGAAGAAATCACACACTGCCCTTTCTGTCACACTAGAGCGGCTTCTTCTGTCTTCAGACTGAAAGTACCAATTCTAGGAAATTATCATTTATTTAGGCAGCTGCTGGGCCAAATCCCCTTACCAGAAGCAGACTGATTTGCAGTAGTTACTGTGCAAACACAAAACAGGTGACAATCTCCATCATTAAGTACTTACAATGTATTTTGATACAATATGTAGCAATTAAATGAGATGAAACAAATGCACGCAGAAAGAAGAAAAACGTAACAAAATCAGGATGATTTGTTTCCATGAGACTTCTCTTCTGCTGGTTTTGAAGGTGCTGCTTTCCTCAGTGTACTCTGAAGCCTTGTACTCGCTCCACGACATGTGCAGAACTAGACAGATCATTACAAAAGCTGAGTGAAAGAAGCTTCAAATTCTTTAGTTGTCAGGATAAAATGGTAAGCCATGGTAGAAGTTCAGAGAAGAGCCTGGTTTATTACAAGCAGTAAGCCAGGAAGATTTTCACCCGTGTTTCAAGAGTAGATGCAGTGACGTGTTTGAAAGCAGCCAGAAAGGACATGTTTTTAGAGCCTAGAAGATGGGATGGCAGTAACAATATGCTGGGAAGAAACAGTCAAATTTTCTAAAATTTGACTGACAAGCAGTGCTCAAGTATCACTACGACACGCAGATTTAGTAAAAGGAGGAAGTCGTAGAAGACTGGCTACGTGTTAACTTAATATACCTTATTATACCTCACCATAAGGGATGAAGGCCCTTATAGAACTTTTAGCATATTCCTGGGGTTTGAGTATACTTGACACACAGTTACAGAGAGCCACAAAGTCTTGCATTACGATCAAAGGTTCAGATATGCTGAAATGATGATTTCTTTAAGTGAGTATTCCTTACTTTATAATTTGGATTAGTGCTAATAGAATATGGACTGCTTGTGGTCCGTAGAGAGTCATAGGAGAGGGCCGTCACACCTAAGAGGGGTTTTTTTCTCCTTTGCAACAGATCAGCTTTTGGAGCAGATCTGTGGAACAAAATGATCTAGTGGGCCAATGGAGAACATGTGGAAACTTCATACACATTTTTATACTTAGAGTCCTCCATGCTGTACTGGCTTGTTGTAAGCTAATGCCACAAGAATGAGGAATAAGTAAAAGTAGCTGCTGGTTTCAATAATAATTGTCACGATTATTATTTTAGTAATGTCATAGAGATTGTGAGGGTGTTCATCAGATTAATGGAATTTTAACGTAAAAGGATATAACTTACTCGAAAAGGGTATGCAATGCACAAGGAGGGAACATGGTGCTGTATATACTGAGGATTCATAGCTGTACAGTTAGGTTCAGACTACAAAGATAATGCGTAAGAATTATAGATTAGTGAAAGAATATTAATGATGGCAGGGTTATATGGTTGCCTATCCTTCCAGAAAGATCAAGTGAATGGAATTTTTTAATAGGCAGTAGAATCAGTCAAATCACAGGAATTACTGGGGATGTGAGATTTTAACCGTTCCAGTGTCTTTCGGGAAAGGAGTTGCAGTACAGTGGCTAACCAACCAGTTCTCAAAATTCTTCTGATACAGGAAACAGATAAGCACCTAGAGAGGAGTTTCTTCCAGATTTCATTCTGGGGCGTTGGAAGGAGCTTACTGAGAATGTAATGCATCTTGTGTCGGAATGACTGTGGAATCAGGGAGGTGTGCTCCTTACCATAGGAAGGAAAAAGAGCAACAAAATGAAAATGAAAATGACTTCAGGGAGGCAAACTGCAGAAGTGCAAAGCCCTGTTAGGGAAGATGTGAAGTTGAAGAGGCGAGATGTGGTCGTTCCTTACATGGTACGAACTGCACCAACTCTGCCAGCCAAGCGGAGAGATAGGAGTGGCAGCAAGACACAAGTGTGGTTAAACTATTGCTGACCTCTCCTACAAGGAAGAGGAATGCAGAAAGTAGAAGCTGTTGGAGGACCAAGAAGACGCAAAAACAAAGTCTAAACATAAACGCGTACTTGTGACAAGTACAGAAATAACAGAATGACCAACGACAATATTGGTCTGCTATGTGGAGAGGAGAGATGACACTGCTAATGCTGAAGTGTTAAAAAACCCGACACTTTTTTGTCTTGTGTCTTTATTAGATCGCAGTCTGATGGCTAATGCAGTTAGTGCCAGTAATGAAAGGACCTCATTTCAGTAGTAGAAACCTCTGCTTTCAGTAGGGAAGGAGAAGATTGGAAAGTGTGATGAACCTTCTAGTATCTGTAAAAACATCTGTTTAGCATAATCTCAAGACCATTAGTACATATTTCCAGGACCTCACAGAGAACAGGCAAAGTACTGGAAAAATGGAGAAGAATGAATGCAGTATCTGCAGAATCGTATATTTACCTTCAGAGCCCATATGGAGAAGATAACGTGCAAAGTTAGTGGCTAGAATAATAAATTGGAGAAGCTCATAAACTATAAATTGGAAACCAGTCCGGTGATGCTGGAAGTCACTCTGCTATTCAGTACTTGGGGTCTCAGGACAGAGAAGAAGCAGTCACATAATCAAGGGTGTGAGGCTTCTAGTATATTGATTTTACAGTAGCTAATGGCTGACTGAAGCTAGGAATATTTTCTCACTCTAGTAGAACCACATAAAAATCACAAATAGTATGCATAGCACTCGCAGATCAACATAAGCAATGCAGGGGGGAAGATGAACATTGATCTGTTGAACACCTGTCTTCAAGCATGGGAACAGATTAGTCAGCCTGGAAATGTTTAGAGATGAGTCAACGGAAAATCAACAGCATGTAAAGAAGTGTGTCCAATGGAGGATATTTTAGTGATACAAACAAATGTGCAGGACTAAAGACTTTAAAGCACTTGCTGATCTGCATGCTTTTGCAAGAGCCATGTGCTGGTTAATATGCAACCAAGGCACCAGTTCGTATCACATGCCCAGTTCTGGAAAAATTAGTGTTTGTGGTGAAGGGCAGGAATAGAAGAAATCTAAGATGCTGTGCAAAGCCAAACAATATTGCAAGCAAAGCAGAGCTCAGGCTGGTTGGGTTCAAAACTGATTAGAAGACTGTACACTGGATATTAAGTTTGTTTGAATATATTTATTAATAGCATGGATGATAAAACAGCATGCATAATTTGTAGGTGACGTGAAGCTGCAGGATTAGCAAATTGTCTTGAGAAATAGAGGAATGGTATGAAAAAAGGAGGCAATTCAATAGAAACAAATAGGAGGCTGCACACTTGAACAGCAGAACCCGGTTGTACAAATACAGAATGGAGGAGAGCAGGGAAGAGAGCAGATCTGCACAGAAGATCAGATTACTTTTGCATACAAACCGAACATGAATCAACAGCATTATGCTGCTGTAGAAAAGGCAGATGCATTAGCAGGATATGTAATGAAAAGGATGCCGTGCAAAATCTGAAGTAATCGTCCATTTATCGGCATCTTCTTCAGTCACAGCTGGAATAGCTGCTTCTGGTTTTTGTGTGTTGGACCAACAGATAATGTGCTGACTAGCAAGAATAATTATCCATCTAAATATTGTTCTGTGAGAAGAGATGTAATGAATGAGTTTTAGAGAAGAAGAGGAAAAAAAAAAAGCATGGCATCAATCTTCAAATAAGAGAAAGGAAACGGTCTCTTTTTCCGTGTCTGCAGAGGATGGGGAGGAAAAAGTGGACTAATTTTTCATCAAAGGGGATTCAGTTCACATATTCAGAAAGACTAACAGTGAGGCACTGGAATAAATTTTGAATGAGCACAGAGTCTCAAAAAATCCACCTTGATAAAATCCTTTCCCCATTTCAGAATGGCAATCTTGTTTCTTAAACCATTTGCTTTAGGGGTAATCTCCAGCTTGTCATAAAGACTCTTGTCTCTTTTCAGCTAGCATGGGATGGTCACACAGCCTCCCTTTTGTCCCGTGTTTCTTCTTTTCACCTTCCTTTTCTTTCTTCCCTGACTTTTTTACTGTCCCTGATCTAGCAAAGAGGTGTTTCCCCACACACGTCTGGAGAGTTAGGAGCAGCCCACAAATCAGTACTTTGCATTTCATTTTATTTACAACAATTTGCAAGTCCATATAAAGACACGGAATCACTACTTCTTAGTGCTTTTGAATTGCTTTGCAATGATACGAAGGCTGTATTTGGGAAGAATTACCCGTGGATCGAAGAGCGGCTGTTTCTGCAGCGCAGGGTTGGCGTTACGAGCGGCCCGAAGAAGGAGAAGCTGGCGTTTGCCTGCCCTGCCTGCCGACGTAGGCATCCTTCCGGGAGAGGGGAGGGTGAGCAGCAACCCATCCTGACCTATAGTAACAACGATGGAAGAGTGGGCAGTTGGGTGGTAGGGCTTCAGGGACACACTGCAGAGGGTGTGTGACATGGGGACAGTCACTGAGAATCATAACGCCAAGACAAGGCAGGGATTTTGCCAAATCATAATGGCAGAACACACCTTTTAACTGGTTATGTCAGTGGTCTCTGAAAGTTTGGTGTCATTTATGTTGAGTAGGTATTAGATAAAATCTGAATTAGAAAAATCGTGAAAAAAAAACCCCGGTACTGCGTACAAAAAAATGAAATTTCAATAACTGGTTGGTTTGTATTACAATCACAATTTATTACAGGCAAGTATTCAGAGGCTTTAAAGATGTGGTGCACAGATTTGATCCTTGCATTGATGAGCCTACAGTTTAATTTTAGAACACCACTTTGTGCAAGAACAGCAAGGAGTAGAGTACATGAGGAAGGAGGAGAATTACTTACAGTAAAATAAAAGCATTTTAAAAATTTATAGTAGGTTCAGTTTCTTTTGGAAGGATCTAGTAATTACTAAATAACATTTAAAACTAATTTCTTGTGTCAGGTTTTAGACTTTAGTAATATGAAGGAAGTATGTTGAATCATACGTAGGTAATTTTTTAAACTACAGTGGTATGAAGAAAGTGCGTTAGCTCTTACATAAGCAGGAGGGAAAATAAAAGCAGTAACAGTTATTTTTCTACATAAGCATATGAAAGGCTCAGACACATGACCATAATTCAGCAGAATTCTTTTATTCAGAGTAAAAAGCACTTTGCTGACTAGAGAAAATAATGGGTTTTTTACGTGCTTGATTTCCTCTTAGAATCTGACCTTTTGCTGGTACTGAAGTATGTATACGGACTCAGCTGCAGTAGTTTTTATAGTTTTATCTTTTTTTTTAAACAAGTAATCCTTTAGTAATAGTGTAAGAAAAACTTAAGCTGTCGTTTTTATTTCCATTATAGAAACCTTTTAATTAGTCCCTCTGTGTTTCAGGTGTATGGCCTGAAGGTTCAGATGGAACAGATATCAATGCTGTCTGTCGATCACATGGGAGAAAACTGCTATCAACAGGGGACGATTTTGGCAAAGTACATCTCTTCTCATATCCGTGTTCACAGTTCAGGGTAAGGTATTTCCAAAAAATTTACTCTTGTAACTTGCACAAATGTATTAAGTGTTGTTTTTGTAAGTACACAAAAAAGAAGGAAGAATGGGAATATGTGTATGCCTAAGGGATTTACTTAAGGTTCATTGAGACTACAATTAAATTTAAAATATGATTTATTATTAAAATACTTTAAGAGAATGATGTGATGCCTTGGTTTTATTGTCTTACGAATGTTATGTTATAAAGATATGTTTTTATGACAGTTTATATTCTCACTAATCTGGTGTTTTCTAGGCTCCAAGCCATGTGTACGGCGGACATAGTAGTCACGTAACTAATGTAGATTTTCTCTGTGAAGACACTCATCTCATCTCCACAGGCGGCAAAGACACAAGTATTATGCAGTGGCGAGTCATTTAGAGGAAACATCAGTGTGAACATACACAGTTGAGTCGACCATGCACAGAACTTATGTATAAGCTGTATATTTAAAACTTAACAGTATGTTTGCAGTTTAGCCTGGTCACTGTGATTTTTGTTTAAAAAATTCTTACAAACCTCAGGAAAATTAAGCCCTGTGCTGGTTACCTTACTCAGTCTAGTGATTTTTTTTTTTTTTTTTCCATTGTGTCACACCTAAAGAATGATGGTTTTCTCCTCTGTTGTACAATATACAAATGCAGTACAAGTTTAATATAAGAAATGTGGCTTGACAGTTTGCAATACAGTGGTATCAGCAAAATGTGACTCTCTTAAATGTTTTCCATAAACACTGCTAAAATGGTCACAAAAATGCCTTTCAAAGACTGTATATATGTGCTTATTTGTTTCACTATCTACACTTTGTACTGTATATCTACTTATCTAGAAAAATCTATGACAATGTCGAGGTACCGAATAGTTTCTGATGGAGGATGATGAATAGACGCAGAAAGTATAAACCGAGGTGCAAGATGCAAAAATAAGTGGTTTAGGCCTGAAAATGTGAAAATTTGCGTTCTCTTGGGAATAGCACCCCTTGGGTATCACCCATGAGGAGTCGTGTTCCCTTTCCAGTGAATCAGCAGGTTCTGCCCCAGTTTGACCTGAATATCTCAGCAGGGTTTACAGATGTCTATGTGGTTCAGGTATTCCATATGAGTTTAAATTTAAAATCTTTTTATTTGTATATGAACAGTTTCTTTTTGAAAACAAAACAAAAAAGCTTGACCACATCCCCGTTATTGGTTGATATATTTAACTACTATGTATGTTAATCAGCATGATGCTATATTGTACATGTATAAGATTTTAGCAGTTCATAACAAATGGTAAGGCAATCTAGCTTTACTTTTTTATGCTTATGGATATTGTATATTTGTATTTTAAGACCAAGTAGACCAAGTCTAAATATATCTTTTTAAGTGTACCATAAACCTGCAGAGGGTAAAGGAAGTCTTGGAAACCTACATGAAATATTAATGTGTAACTTCTGGCCCCTGTGTTTTGTGCATGGATGGATATTTATAGTATGAAATAAGATTGTGTTTTGCAATGAAGTAATAGTGGAGGTGGTATAAAATGGTTGAGAAGGCCTTATCAATGTTGATTGTGACACAGATTGAAATGTATTGTTTACTTTGAAGAATGTATCTGAAGAATTTTAAAAGAGAGGAGTTCTAACCAGGCTCGAAAAAGGTAATATTAAAATTTTGCTTGTAATGGACAGTAAACGCTAATTCTCTGAACTCTAAAGCACTGGTTGTTTAGAGTGATTCAAATGAAATGGAATCAATAAATTTTGAAACTTTTTTATTACATCTCCAACCTCCTACACTGAAAGTGCAGGACACCAATAAACATGTATTGAAGTGAATTTTCAATGCATTCTTCCTGTTTAGTAAAATACCTTTGTTTCAGCATGAAATACTTACAGAGGAGACAGGCTTTTACTGAACGACACACATTTGTGATTTCTCAATTAGAGCTGCATTTGAAGATATTTGGGAATAAAATCTAGATTTTGGGGTGCATAATTTCATGTGTGAGCATGACCCTGGCAATGCGATCCCTAATGCACACCTGGAGGGTGAAACTCCAGCTTCACAGCAGGGCCAGACGGACACGTCGCATGCTGTCAGCTCCCAGCTGCCGTGGTTCTGCCTCCTGGTACGCGTCACGTATTTCAGCTGGTGGAGGGGTGTCATTCCACTGCGCAGGGTTATGGTCAAGAGCAAGAGCTCCTGGCGATTTCTGTGTGTTGGGAACTCATCCTCAGGCAAGGCTGCGGAAGGCCGGGGTTTTGGGGTCACCGTAACCTGACATTATCTCGCACTGTCACTGAAGGAAGAGGTCTTGCCCCCAGCTGTTTGGTCCTATCCCATGCAGCAGCACAAGAGTTATTGTGGCCATTAGGGAGAACCCAGCTGAGAGATGGACCCAGATTAAAAAAAAAAAAAAAGGGCCACCAAGTAAACAACAGCTACTACAAAACAGTAAATCCCTTTCTTCAGTTTCATCATCTCGTTTAGCTGTGCAGCTGTGTGAATCCTTGTGCTGAGCCGGTACAGAGGCAGGAGCAGTGTGGAGAAGCAGGAAATGGACAGAGGAGCACTGGAACAACTTTTGATGGCGATGTCGATCTGCTTGAAGTGTGTGAAACTAAGGCATAATATGCCTACCCTTTCTAGGGTTAATCCAATCCTAAGTGGTCGTAACACACAAGTGACAGGTTCTCATCTTGTCTGGATACTTGATTAATTGTGGCGCGATACCTTCTGTTTATTAAATTTTTTTGCTTTTGCAGACGGAGTGCTTTCAGGTTTTCTGCTTCCAGAATTGCAGGTGATTTGTCATTACTTGCGACAGAGAAAACAGGGGCTGCAAATTGGGTTGGCTCGTTCCCTTTTCATCCTTCTCCCACGGTGCTGCTCTTGGGATGTGATAATGTATTTGTGATCCCCTTCTTCATTTTAAACTATTATTCCTTGCAAGAAATAAATGAGGAATCCAGCAAGTTCATCCCTAGGGTTACTGATCAAAGGGGATTTTCAACTGTCCCATCCCATCTGTGCCTGTGCTGCTCCTCTGTTTCTAACTTTTGCCCTGAAATGTGTCTTTGTTCCTCTCTGAAAACCTGAAAAACGTATTAGCTGAATTGGCAAATGGTGGGTAACGTCCTGAGCCAGATATCCGTTTGACGACTGTTAAAGTGATTCTTGTTCCTTTATCCAGGAAATTCTACACAATTTCACCATTGTTATAGATAATCTTCTGCTCTTCTCGCTTCCACCCTTGTTCCTCAGTTCTTGCATTTATTTATTTTCTCTGGAGTGCCCTCTTTTTTAAAATATAAAAAAAGAAAGAGAGAGTTTATTCCTGAACTTTGCATATTTCATGCCCTCAGCAGTACCTGGGACTCTTACGCCTGATTCCGTCGCCTGATAGTGTGTATGCAGCAGTTGTCTGGTCCTGCCCTTGCCTGGAGCGTGAGGCTACTGCTCGAGGCCACAGCTGGAGGCACGGCCGGGCTTCTGCTGCTGCTCCTTCCCGCCCCTGATCTTGGCTGTGGCAGGCGTAGCATTGCTCAAAGGAGAGCCTCATCTCTTTGTGTCTCTTGTGTACTGAGGGTGTCTAACAAGCATTCAGCTGCTCCCTTGCAGCTTTCTGCGGTTTCAGTTCCTGTTTCTTGCTTTTCTTCGCTTCATTTCTGGCATTGCTCTTCTGTGGCTGCAGCTTCTAGGACCACATCCGCCTCAGCCCTTACCGGCACATTTTGCTGCCCTTCACTGCCGGTAAAACCAGCGGCCCTGACTACCTCTCTGATCGTTTTGGGGCCGAGTTCCTGGTTGCTTACTGTATCTGTATCTGTATCCACGCTGCTGCTTGGCCTTCAGCTTACCAATATCGGTGACTGCATCTGCTTTTAGCCCCTTCCTTCCTTGTGTGAGTGCACTGAGGCCATCGACGCTGTCTCGTTTCTCGATCGTCCTCCGTTTGTCTGTGGGCAGCCCTATAATGTATAGCAAGTACTTAGATTTGAAAATATTTTTAAGGTAGAGATTTTTTTATCTGTTGTTGCATGGTGTTTAGCAATGAGATTTTGTGATGTGACACTCGGTACAACAGTACCACTGTTGTATTTGTCCGAAACAGTGAGGATGTGTATTCAGATAACACTTCTGTGTCAGCACGTTCAAAGTGATTAGCTACTGGAGCTGATAATTTAAGACTCAGAGAATAGACACTATTCAGAAAACAATACACGTGCTTTCAAAAGACGTCTTCCTCCTTCTACATGCTTATAAAGCAAACATAGACTCAGTCTGTTTTTTAGGATCATTACGCATTTTCAAGTAGAGGCTTTTCACTATTTTGTTTACCTCTCCTGCTTGTTTTCATAAATTTATTGTACTCCTAAAGGACATATATTTGTCTTATATAAAAATACATCCTACAACTTAATTGTATATGTATTATTTGAATTACTACCTGAAAAATTATTATTACATAGATACTTGCGGTAGTGCTTGGTTTCGACTGGTTGTTGAAACCTGACAGGTATTAGGAATTTCCAGCAGATAAGCTCTACAAAAAGCAGTCTATTATTAAAAATTTAAAAATTATTAATAATTTGTATTGTATATGTAATAATGTATTTAAAAAAAGAAAAACAGGAAAAAGAAAAAGTTAAGAAGGAGATAAATTTAAAATAAATAGTTTTTCAATGCTGGTGAATTAAAACCCCCCCACCATTTCAAATTATTAAAAAACATCCTCTCACAAAGAAAATAATTTTTGTAAGATGGATTATTTTACTATTCTATTTAAAACAAGGGCGTATTTCCTATGTGAAATGTTTGGATGAAATTTGTCCTTCAAACGAATTACTATTAGAAGATATTATTTCCCGTCAAAATTATGTGTGTGGCAAGAGCTTGCAAGGGCAGCCAGACCCTTTTTTGCAAGGGTCGGCATTTCTCACTTCTGCAGGTTCTGCTCAGAGAAGCAGGTAGTCTTTTTGTTGTGTTTTCTCCTCCGCCCCTGGAACTGGGGCTGTTGACAGATCGCTCAATTGCATCCTCTAAAATCCTACAGATGGCAGGGAAAATGTCACTCTAATTACTGGTGGAAAGAACAGACTTATGAGATGCCTAAAGAGAAATCTTTTTCTTCCATCGCTGGCTGGGCTTCACAGCAGGGCTGGAAGGGCTGCCGTGCCGCTCTCACCGCGGCCGGCTGCCCTTCGGAAGAGGGAAGGAAGACGGTGGAGGATGAGGAGCCAGCTCCTGAGGGGAAGGGCAGACCCGCACCCGGCTCTGCCCGCTCCCTGCTCCGGGACGGAGGCTGCTGGTCGCTGCACGAGTGAGTACTTCAGCCATTCCCGCTCTTGCTGGGAGAGATTTCTGTTTCTCCTTAGTCATGCAGTTCTGTGGCAATTTCGTTTTTCTTAAGGGAACAACTTTGGCTCCTGAATTCATTAAATAATTGTAGAAGGCTAAGTGATAATTCACGTGGGGGTGTTGATGACAGTGCAGCGAAAGCTGCCACCCAGCACTCGGTTTGGCAGACCTTGGTTGTGCCAGGGGCCATGCCAATGGGCTCATCTGTGAAAACCATGCAGGGGACCTTTGTCATTGTGGGTTCCCCTTGGTCTCCTGCCAAGGGTGGGAGTGAAAGGAGTTGCCTTCTTCGGACAGAGCCGCTGCGCTGGTGGTACCACCGGATCTGCAGGTGCTTCCTTTGGACCTTGCTTCTGTGAAAGCTTGAGGTCGTGTACTCCGTGAAGAGTGGTTCTTCCCCACCAGCTCCACAGTCCCAAATTAGCACAGGTGTTCTTTTACCATTTTTTGGCTATCTACCAACTGCGTTAAACTACCTTGGACATTTCCATTCATTTGCCGTGGACGTATCTGTACCTTAAAGGCTGCCTCTTTGGGTCTGGTATGAGGTGCTGAGGTTATAACCATGAGAAAAGTGACCTGTTTTCATGGTCTCTGTGCAAGTGAACAGGTTTTTAGCTGGAGCTTCTGTGAGATGAACATTTTTAAAATCTGACCCGCGGAATTACTGAGAATAAACATTTAGCCAGAGGCAAGCACATTCAGCTGCTCTGTGGATTCTGGCTATCAGTGCTATGTGAGCTACATTTGCTCCAGATTCCAGGTTGCAAGCTAAAGAAATCTGCTTCAGGCTGTTCAGTCGTTATGGTTGGAAAGCAAAACTTAAAAAGGCTGGATGGGTTCTGCAGCCATGTTAGATTATTGTAATTTGTCATCGCCTGGCATTGCCCTCGCACCGCAGAGACGTGCTGAAGAGGGAAGTGTCTGCTTGAGGCAGCCTGAAGAGAACGCCTCTCTCTACAAAATCAGCTGCCTCGGCAGTTCATTCTGGATTCAGTTTCTCATTAAGATAAATGTCAATGTTTTAGGGCTCCTTCCTTCCTGCCCAGCTTCTCCTTTTCAGCAGCTTTCATTGACATCATAATCCCGAATTTACGACATCAGTGTATAACCACAGGGGAGGTTGTTATGCCAGAGGTTCAAGTGTTTTGGCCTCCTTACAGCACCTAAAAAGAGCAGGAGCTGAGCTCTGAAAGTCTCTGTCTATGGCTTGAACAGTTGGAGAGCAAGCTGACAGGAGGCTCGGTTTAAGTGAAAAGCCCTCTGGCATTTCCCCTGTGCACGGCTCCTGTTCAGTGAAGGTCTGGCCACACGCAGTTCAGCAGCCTGGGGAGCCTCTGGCTGCACGAGCACAGCATCGCCTCTGGGCCGAGATCGGGTGTGTTGTGGGTGAAACCGCTTCTTCTTTTTTTCCCCTGCCGTGACAGGCCGGGCCTCTTCCTAAAAAGCTCAAGCCCAAACAATCTTGACCTTGCAAGAGCAGGACCGAGGGGATTTTAATAATAATAAAACAAACAAAACGGAGCGGCTCCTTGCCTGGCTCAGTACAGCCTGCTCTGCAAGAGACGGCAAAGGTACAGACTGTCCTCCGCGGGCACTGCGTTATCCCCTGGCGGGGGGTACGCCGTACCAAAGCACAGGCTTTGCAAACCCTCGGGTGGGGCTAAACCCTAAGCTGGGGCAGTGTTTCTTCAAAGAAGCCCAAGTTACTTGTTAAAAGGAAAACTGGAGTTGTCAGGTGTGTTTGTGTTTCCCATTCCTGCCCTTCTGCCCTCACCCTGGCATGAAAATGCATCACCTGGGGATGCTGCTGGGGAGGCTGGACCACCGCTACCTGCGAGTACGGCAGGAGGGTGTGCGGCCGTGGAAACACCCTCACTGGTTTGGGTTTTGCACGCTGGGTGCCTACACGCTTGCGGTTTACTGGTGTCTTTTCCTTAAGTTGCGTGTAAAAGTTGTTAAGGAAGAATCAGCGGTGGCCTCGGACAGGTAAG